ATTTTTTTAACGTCGGATTTTTCTTTGTCCGACGAGAATACAGTAATTTAAATTACCATTTTTCTACTAGTGACTACGCAATGAAAAACACCGAGAATCTACTAAATTAGAGTTATCATGTATCAACATTAATTGGACATTCATGCAACATATATATGTATAGGGTACAAAAATATAAAATAGCCCCTATCAATTTTGACTTGAAAACATAAGCCCCTTTTAAGGTTACAATAAAACCTTATACATATGTACATGTATACATCTAGTAAAGCATATTGAAAAGATAAAACCCTAGCGTCTATCAAACGTCTCTATACACAACTAATGTATCTGAACAACACAACAAAAACAAGGTCATCTCCAGCATGACCATCCATAAAGTGTACCTTCCAATCTAATCCTACTCTGGCCTACTCTCATACTAAGTATGGTCATTGTAGTCCAACAATATGAAAAACACTACTACAGGATATATTATCTACATCGGTTCTGCGAGGTAATCTATATTGGTTCTAAAATCGATGTAGAATAGGGTGACTTAGAAATACATACACTTCTACATTGATTTTGAAATCGATGTAGATTTTTGCAAAATTTACATCGATTTTGCTGACAACCGATGTAGATTTGTACTTGTGTACAAATCTACATCAGTTGTCATCAAAATTGATGTAGATTTTTGCACAAATCTACATTGGTTTTACTAACAATCGATGTAGATTTGTGAACAAATCTACATCACTTCTACCGACAACCAATGTAAATTGCATTTTAAAAAAAAAAAAACTTCATTTACTTTTTAGATTCTTTCTGATTACTTGTAATAAATAAATATATATATATATATATATATCAAACAGAAATTGTATAATGCACTATTCTACTCAATTGTGTTGCTTAAGTAAAGTGGATATACAATTTAACTTGTTTAATAAATCAAAAAACTTGTTCAAACTTAGTAATGGAACAAAAGTATATAAGTGACAAGAAAGAAAAAAGGATTGGTTGGAGTAAAAAATTAGGATCAACAAAAATTACAGATTCTTATTCTCATTGTGTAGGATCAACAAGATTAACCCAAATGTTTTCTTAAGGAGAATTATTAAAAGGAAAAAAATGCAGAATTTTTTTGTTACTCTCATTGTATAGGTTCCATTAAGTCCATGCCAAAGCCATATCCCTGTGAGAGTATTTAACAAAACCACATCCTTCAAGCAAAATAAGAGAAATTATTATATATTTAATATTGACATCACACACATATAGAGACACAAAAAATGTAACCATTGAATAAAAAATTGTGATGCCTCCAAACATTGAAGTGAAAGGTAAAAAATAATAACACACATTGCACCAACCAATTCATACTCTCCTCAACAACATTTATAAAATTGAAGCACATAGAAACCAACCCCTCACTCCCATGTACACAACTAGATGTTGTAATAAGAGAATTAAAAACTTCCTAGTGAAAACAACAAATAATTGACTAAGCAAGGGATTAGCTTTTCAACTTAAAAACATAACTCAACTTCAACATCATCTGACAACTTAACAATTGAGGGAAATCAACTGAACGACTCAAAATCGTTTAACAACTAAACTACTGAAATCAACAAGGTAAATGAATAAACAACTTATATTCAACTAGTAAACAACTGAACAACTTACAACTTTCTTAATACAAGCAACTTCATGCATAACTTAACAACTTTAAACAATTGATTAGCTTCCAACATGAAACATAACCTCGACTTACAACATAAATCGCAAAAAAATAACTTACAACATGAACAACATTCTCAACATAAACAACTTTAATCACATTATAAATAATTTCAAGAAACTACTGCCCTATCACACATATCAACTTATGAAGATCTCCTACAATAGAGGTGAGCAATCTAAGTGACATGACCTTATTGAATCACTACATTTGATCTATCGCAACCAAATCAAGTAGATAAAATGTTAGGCCTTTCAAAGCACCTAGCAAACAACTTAAATTGATTTCTTAAGTTTGGATACTTAAACTAGGAAAGTTTAGTACTATTGTCAGGATAGAACAAATTGGGTATGAGTCTACGATGACCTTAGCATGCATATCTAAGTCTCATGTGGAATTAACCTACTAATTATTCTCTAAATACTATACATCTTTCCAACAATCAATAAAGGATTTTATACCCCTCAACTTCACACTTTACTCAGTTGGTCACTTTATACATGCGTGGCACAAGCTAGCTTCCATATGATTCTACATTGGTTGCTTTATACACATAATGCTTGACCTTGTTCCCATACGATTCTACATTGATTGCTTTATAATTAGTATGATTCGACTTTACCCCCATATTATTTTAACATAAAACCTAAAGGAAACAATTTAAAAGTAACTACCCATTCAAGAGCCAATTTACTCACTAAAGGATTTTCAACTATGGGCTCTCATAGCACCACAACTTATATTCACACAATGAGATATTTTAATTTCTAAAATAGCTTTACTTTCTTCTAGTTTTTATGTATCTCAATGTAAACATGTATTACATGTTTATACAACTCATCATCATACAACTTCAATAGTAAACAACTTTCAACATAAGCAACTTAAGTTTGTAAACAACTTTCAAACTTAACAACTTAAATCAACATACAACTTTCAACTTAATCAACTTCCAATAATAAGCAACTTTCGAATTATACAACTTAAATCATCATTATACATCATCATAGATCAATATATAATGAACTAAATTCAATCTTCATCACACATCATGTAACACAACCAACTTAATAAGATGAGTTGAGAAAATTATAAGTTCAAATGGGAAACAGTTGCTTCAAGCACCCCAAAGCTCATTGGAGTGCCCAAACAGTTAGCTTAGAGCAACTATAATTTGCTTAGAGTGCCTAAAAACTAGCTTTGAGTGACTAAAATTTGCTTGGAGCGACCAACAGTTAGCTCAGAGTCAATTCAAACAAAGAGCACCTCTAGGAGTCCCAATCTACTCGCTTAAGCGAATAAACCCTCTCTTTGAATGAATTTTGTTTGTTCAAAGCACCCAAGAATTAACTCCAAGCAATCTAAGTCAGAGACGACCCCTAAATGTTTGCATTTGCTTGCTTTGATTAAGTGCACTCTCGCTTTGAGCTAGTCTACCAGACACATTCACACTCAAGAGCTCACCAACTTACAAGAAAACCCATTTTCTCACTCAAAATTCTTCCTTCTAACTACAAAATTTATGCATGCAGCTTTGCAATCAGCATCTACTAGCTTCATATAGTCTATAATAAAGATGTACTTTATATAATTATATTAATATTTCATAATTAATAAAATATTATTATTAAAATAGAATATTGATATTAAAATTTTCTAAAATAAATAAATAGTATATATATATATATATTAATACTTAATTTATCTGCAAATTTTCTTGTAAATTTAAAATGCACAAGAAATTTACCAAAATTCAATTGAAATTACCTATGTTTTTTTTATATTTGAAATTGGTAAGAAAGGTATTTACAAATAATAAATTTGTAGACTTTTCTGTAATAATTTATTTGATTTTTATTTTGCAAGAAATTTTATTGTGAAAAATATTTCAAGAAACTTTCATGTAGATATTTTTTTTTCAGGAAATTTTATAAAAAAAAGTTTTACAAATTTTAAAATTTACAAAAAAAAATATTATCTACAAAGGAATTAGTTGAAAGATAAAAAATTTCAAAAAAATCCAAATTTAAATTTTTATGCAAAATTCACATAAAAATTACATGTAATAAAAAAAATTATAATAGTAACTTTTTTCATTACGCAACATACAATTTTTTACCGCGTGAAATGTATCAAGGAGAACAAGTAGATGTCGAATGGTATTACAAAACCTGATGTTTAGGGTCTAACACAGGACAATCAAGAAGATTGAAAGACTCAAAGGTTCTACACGCATGACTAACAACAATTTTTTTAATAAATTACTGGAGTCGACCTAACAATTACAATTTAGATATTATAAGAACAAGGATATAAGTTCTAACATGTGTTTATACAACACAAAACTATTATCAATTTTTCCCTACAAAATTGGCTCTTCCAGCACAGCAACAATCATTTCTCTCAATTGATTATCGTACTATGTGATTTGGGAAAAATAACTTTGTTGTTTGCGAGAAAAATGAAAATTTTTCGATATAGAGATGGTTATATTTTAATTAATGAATTTAAATAATCTCTTTTAGGCTTTAGTGTTATTAAATATTTTCAATATTATTGAAGGGGTATAACAAAACCGAAACAAAAAAAAAATTGAGTTAGTTAGTTAGTTAACTAATATTAGAAAATGACTGGTTAAGGAATTAATTAAGAGACTAGACCGAAAGATTTAGTAGTTTTTAATGACTGTCTGTTAGTGAAGGTTTAGAACGGTCAAATAATTATTTTTTCCCCAAAAATAGAATTTAAACATTTTTTAAAATTTGTTTTTAGGTATTAACATATATAATAACATCTTTACGTCAAAATTTGGAAGTAGGTCTAACTAGAAGGCGTTGGATACCTTATTCAATTAGCAATTTGGACAAAGCACTCGTATGAAAAAAGTTTCCTCCTTAAGTACATGAACATACCCAAGTCTTATTCTCTTTCTGAAAATTTACATGGGCTCCACTAGTGCCTGAAATGGAACCATAAACGATATAATATAGTGTCTCTAGTTGAAAGGAGACAAGTCCTAATCAAGGTTCCAAAGGGTTCTCTCAGAATTTCGATATCATATAGATTGAACTAACTAAATTATCAAGACACTCCAACCACCCTTGTCAACTTCAATTAACGAAATATCAGTGAAGTGGACGCGAAGAAAAGAAAGGTTTTGTGATTCTACAAAGTTTCTTTTCTAGTTAGTCAATTATTACACCACCAATACCCATTACTAAATGGCCTTAAGACTAGTCCCTTCATCTGTTACTTGTATTAAATGGAGCTTTGCCTTCACACATTCAATCATACATTTCTTACCATCGTTATTAGTTACTTTGTCATTCCATCATAGTTTAATTCCTACACTTGCTGAGGTCAAGTTGGCTCAAGAACAAACTAGGAAGGTGGTGAAATGGGGATCATGGAACGTGCAGAGATCGACACTCGAGCCCCATTCAAGTCTGTTAAAGAAGCAGTTATGTTGTTTGGAGAAAAAGTATTAGTTGGGGAAATTTATGCCAACAAGCTCAAAGAGGTTCTCGCATTTCTCTTTCTATTCCGGTATCAGTTTAATGTCTATATACTGTAAATTAATAAAAAATCATGATAAGTATAAAATAACAAATTTACCATACATGTTGATTTGTAATCAAATGTCAGTGTAAAAACTCTTAACGTTTTAGTGCATGAGTTATTTAATGTCATTGCCTTGGTTAAAATATTGTCATAATTATGTGCCTAGCCTTAAGAATATAATGCATGCATACATTAATTTGCTTCAAATTGAAGCAGATGTATATAGTTAGTGAATTAATTTTCTTCTGATTATGTGTTTGACATGCTTAAGATGCGAGTGGAAGCGAGTGGAAGCGTAGGTGCACAAGCCAGAGGTGGAGCATTGGCAATTGAGTTAGAAGAAACAAAGCAAAGTCTTGAGGGAGCTAGAGAAGAAGCTAGCATGTTGTCTCAGCGAATCAAGACCCTGAAAAAGGAACTGGAACAAACAAAGAGAGAGCTAGAAGACACAAGAGCAAGAGAGGTAAGGTTGCTGCAGCAACGGGATGATCCAGAGATTGAAGATCTCAAGTTCATTGCAAATGCAACCGATGCGGAAATCAAAGCACAAAGTGATAGTGAGGATGCAGCAGAGTTTCAAAAAAGAAGATATGTGAAATTTGCTAGTCCTCAAGCACTAGCTCAAGTTATTCCTAATAAGGGTGAATTGCTTGGGAGACCTCCTTCTGTCAAGAAGGTTAAGAGGAAGCCACTGATGCCTTTGATAGGATGGCTTTTCTCTAAAAAGAAAGGAAGCCACGAAGTTGACTCACCAAGAGCCTGAAAAGTGTTTCTCACCTTCTTAGTTGGCTAACTTGCTCTATTTTCATCAAGTTTTCCTTAAACATGTCTTGGAGTTGAGTGCCCTCTATTTTCAGATAAATAATAATCCGTCGTTATTTTTCTGTTTATGAGGGAAAGTTGGCCCCTCTCAATTTTGTAAATTTGTAACTCGTATTTGCTTACTGAGCTGGGCTGTGTTGGAGTTTGCTCAGTAGCATAAAAGCTTTTAGAATCATATGGAATCGAACGAGAGAATAAAGTGCTTTTGTGCAGTGTATACTGCATACTCATTAACATATACCACCATACCACTAGGTCAACACGGTACAGTAATCTTTTGTTTTGTTTTTTTTTCGTTCTGTTTATTTCATTTTGACCAAGAGTCATTAAGCTTTTTATTTTTATTTTTCTAGACTAATCAGCATGTGCCTTGTTAATTTAAAAATTAAAAAACTAATAAGTTATTCATCTAAGTACAAAATCCAATCCTCTTAAAAAAGTCACATATTCAAATTTTGTAAATAGAAAAAAGAAAATATAATTAAAAAATATCATTAAAAGTGATAAGTGAAATTCTTTTATAGAAATTAATTATTAATAAAATCGATAAATATATCACATTAATAATATGATTAAAAAATTTAAGATTAAAATGTAATTATATGTTTTGGGATGTTTCCCAAGCTTTCAAACTTGCCTTGGAGTTAGGCTTATAAGAGAATGTAGTCATGTGGTCGATTATGTAGCGATTTATCAAACTACGACTAAAATTTCGAACAACAACCATGAAACACGAAGATTGAAATGTTTGTTTTTATTTGCCTCTACTTTTGGTCCTAGCTTTTCAACAAATTTTAAGGTGGGCTACTATTATAGACGGTCTACCATCTACCATAATTTTGATCCTTTAAATTAATCTAACATTCACACTATTATAATATTCCTTCCACACTATATTACTGTCATCTCCTCTCCTCGGTAATAATCACTGTACACTGACATCAAAGGACTATGGACCACCATGCACTGATTTTGAAGGCGATTTCTAATGACTAAACCATTTCCCTCTTTTCTTTTTTACCTCTCTCTCCCTCTTATTCTTCTTCTTCTTCCCCTCTTCTTCCACAAGTGTGAATTTGCCTCGATAGAGGCACATCTGTCGCAACACAATGTTGTCTCTGACATTCGTTTCATGAAGGAAGAGAAACGGAGGAACAAAGTCAAAAGTGCACAACATCATGGATGCATGGTAGTCAGGGACGTTCCAATAGTTGTCGACAATAAGGGTAGCCAGAAAGAGAAAAAGATAAAAATATTCACGTGTGCATTATGTTAATCCAAAGACTATTAATTGTGGTTTACTCATACATTCAAATACTAAACCAAAAACCAAAATGTGTGATGTTTTGAATGTGAGCTTGACATTTGATATATGTCTCTTTCGGTCGTACAAAGAAACTTAGCTGTTGTCAATGGTTTAAATTAATGCTCCTTCTAGAAAGCTGGTATTTATTACATGAATATTTTGTATCCGTAACTTCATACGAAATAAATTAGATGGAATAAGCAATCAATATTGAGTCAATTTAAGCGAAAAATTCAATCAAAAACAAACTTGTTAATAATCATCGATGTTCGGCTTTTAATTGATTAAAGTAAAAGGAGATTTAGAAAGAAATCTGAAAGATAAAATATTATACTCTTCAGAGTAGAACTAAAACACATATCTATAACCATTAAAGATTTTAAGCATAAACGCCATGGATCATGTCCATTCTTCTAAAACTATAATCTTTGGCTGCTGCTACAGATAAAAATATTCAACACAATCTACAAGGAAGGCTATACGCTTATATACATAATTATTCATCATTAATCTTCCAAGTATGACCCTACAGGGAAATCCCAAAAATTCTAAAATAAAAATCATGTGCACTCATAACCAGAGGGCGGTTTTGACAGCTGAGGTAGTCCTTCCACCAAACTTAATTGTCTTCGCAGCTTAACAATATGAGCTTGAACCTAGAACATGGAAAACACAGTCAGCACACAATCACACTAACTCTAAAAAGACTAAACAATTCAATAGCAACACATAGTAAAAGATTAAAAAAATGCTCTCAAACAGTAAAGTAAGTAAGGCCCACATGTGCTACTGGAGCAGTTAACTTCGTGATCACTACTATATGCATCCAAAACAGAGTCAAACAAACAAAAACATTTGGTGAAAACCACGGACTAATCCACTAGGTCTCACCATCCAATAAACGCCTTCTAGACCAAAAACAAGAATGCAGACAAGATACAAAAGTGTCTCATTAGTCAAAATATTATCTTGATTAGTTGCATATCATGCATGGATCAGTGAATTTATTATTATTACTTTCAGATAGTCATTATACCCACAGGTGCATAAAATAATGTTACTATAAGGAAGAAAAGAAAGCGGCATGGCGTCTGCACAAAGCGAAAGCAGAATAAAAGCCATTAATAAATCTCTAGGGATAATTCTACTAAGTACCAAGTTAAATAAAGAGGCACAATAGAATAAATGAATAAAGAAACCATAACCTGCTGGCGAGCTGCTGCAAGTTTTAAGAGCTCATCAGCCTCAGAGAAGTTCATGAACCATTGGCTTAGAGGATGATCTTTGGTATCGCCCCTCTCCTTGTCATTCATAGTATCAATTGGTACTGCAGAAACAAAACAAGGAAAATCTTTAAGGAATAAACCTGAAGGGGAAAAAAATTAAAATAATAGTAAGAATAACATTGAAAGGAAAGTACCAGGACTTGGTAAATTCAAGCCAGCAGGAAGCCTAGGAACATTAACAACAGGATGATTCTGCACACGTGCAAGAAAACCCTCCGAGGGTTCAGGAAAAACAATCTCATTAAAAGATTCAACAACCACAGGTTTCTTTGTGGACTGGGGACCAGATTCATCTTCTGGATATAATTTCAAATGGTGATACCTATTACCACAAAATCCATTAACACAAGTTATTCAAAAAATGCAATGTCCAAAGTCCCAAATCCAAGTAATTAGCAAAAGAAAGAACCAACAATTTAATGCCTGAAATATTATTCTCTCCTAAATAGTCCCTAAAGTAAAACAAACTACCTAAGTAATCCTAGAAGTATTAGCTATCATGCTAAATAGTCCCTCATATTTTATAAAAAAACATTTAAATTAGTCCCTAAATTTACTAAAACACATCAATAGAGAGATTAACATGGCAAATACTCAATATTAAATAATTTTATTACTTTTAAAAAGTAAAAGTTCAAGGACCAAATTAATGGTTATTTTAGACCCAAAAAATAGGGGTGTTATTGTGATCAGTTCGGGTTGAAGTTCATCAAACCCCTCTTTGTGGATTTGTGAATTTTTTTTATCAAACCTGAACCAAACCAACCTGATCAATGATGGGTTGATTTGGGTTGGATCATTGGATTTGGATGTGAAAACTCAAAAAATATTTTAACAAAACACTAACACCCAATTAAATATAAAAAACTCATACACCCCTAAATTATAAATGTATAAACGAAAATGATAAATGAAACAATACTCTCTTAATTAACTTGTCCATGTTAGAAAATTAAAACAAATAAATCAACAATAATATTAAGTAAGATTTTTAGGGGTTAAAACTTTCCATACAAGTGCATAAACTAAAATTTCAATTGCGACTGTTTTGCAAAGATGCGATGAAACATATCCCACCGAAATAGACCTATTAACATTACTCATACATTAAAGACAAATATAAAGCCAACATGAGGCAGTGATATAATGAGAATGATTACTGAAACAGTGAAGCCCAGATGATAAACATAGTAGTGACACGTGAGTGTGTGTATAGGTGTCTCATGTATGTTTTATCTGAACACTTTAAAAACACGAATCAAACAGTTTGGGTTGGGTTGGTTTAGGTTCATGCAAAAGGAAGCAATTGAAACTCACAAGTCCAACTGCTTTTCGCAGACATCAGTGTGGAAATGGAGGGTGATGGCTATTTCAAATTCACCCCATCCGCATTCCGATAACTCAAACGGTGGTGACTCAACAACTCTGGTGGGGTTATTAAAACTGGGATGCAACTGGAACACAACCCGCTTAATCACCACCCCAAGATCTTCATTCGTGGCTCCACGTACATACACCGTCCACTTGTGTGACTGAGACCTAGTACCATCGAAGGATTAGAAACTATAGCCAAATCCAGTGATCCATATAAAAGAAAAAGGGGCACCAACAAAGACAAAACTTACTCGCTGGCCTTCCGACCAAGATAGAATGCAATGGTCCCATAAACTATTGGGACACAAATTTCAACATCTTTGAGCCTCCTGTTCGCATTCTGAACCAAAAATGAAATCTTTAGGGGAAAAACTTGGTACCCAAGAACCAAAAACGTAGAAAAGTGATAAAAAGAAGCAAAAGAACAAGCAGGCACAATTAGGGTTGAAAAAATTGGTGATCGAAGGCAAAAAAAGATTTACCTTTTTGTCAGCATCCTCAGAGGGTACTGCGATTTTAAGGCGAGAAGGTTTAATGGCAGAGGTGCCATCATCGGAGTGTTCAGCTTGTCTCTTGAGGGGTAACGGCTGGGACTGAGAGTGAGACATTTGCCAATTGAATGTGTTTTTCCTTTTTTTGTTTCCCGAATGCAGAAAGACACAAATTGGGAGAATGGGGTTTAGGGTTTTAGAGAGAAATTGCGGGCACTGATAGTACCCGATTCATACAACCTGATAATGCTTTTGCGTTCGTTTGATTCCTCGGCAGTTGTTCAGTTTTTAATAACAAAATAAAAGATAGAAAATCTTGTAATGTTCTTAATAATGTACTTTTTGTCGTTGTTGGCCTGTCTGCTCTGTCTAGTGTCTAAAACCTATTCTTATTTTAATTTATTTTTTATTCAATCTTTTGAAGATTGACTCCATCCAAAACTATAATCAATTATCAATTTTTTTTAAGATTCACACAAGTTCATATAGAAAGATGTAACGCATAAAGAAAAATTAAATTCAAATTTAAGTTTTAATTAATAGGATTAAAGAGATTTAATTAATTGTAACATTTTTTATGAGATAGAATCTAAATATTTTAGGTTGTGTTTTAAAGTCGACAAGGTTAAAAAAAATTAAAATAAGTAATATTTTTTTAATAGATTTGTATTCACAATTTCACTAAACCATTAATATTTTCCTTTATGTATTATTTTATCTCTTAAGTAGTTCTAAATTAATAAAATTATATAAATAATATTTAACTATTAAAATTAATATTAAGTGGTCTCTTAAAATTAAAAAAAAATTAAGTTATTATTTGAACTAACATGATAAATTGATATAGTGATAAGAAATCTTATATTCATATTATTTTTATAACAAATACATCATCATAAGTAGAATCTAATTTTTAGATTGAAAAATATTTGTAATATGATGAGAAAAAAAAAGAAGTTAAATTAATTTTTTTTTTCTCTCCCTCAGTTTGAGAAAGAAGTTGAATGTGAAAGTACTAATAGTTGAGTTGAGTAAAGAAATCAAAATATTAATCAAACAAATATATAAATTATTTCCGTATTTACTGTAATTATTCAACTCAAATACTAAATTGATGGATATTTAGGGCATATTTGTCCCTTTTCACATTTTAGTTTTAATTAATTTTTGTCCAAATTTATTACTCCCTTTAATTCTTATTACAAGATATTTATAACAAAATTACCCAAATCAATTAAGTATTTGCATTGTAGCATAAGTTCACATATATTGTCACGAAGAATTTTCTCAAAATACGTGTAGAATGAATTTAGTGGATTTTCAAAAAAAAAAAAACATATTGAACAGTTTACTAAATATATGGGTTTAGTTCATTTAGAGATTATCATATAGTGCAAATAAATAAGAGTTATGTTTCTAAAGCAAAAGTGTAAATTCTATTAAACAAATAACATAATCGATTAAAATTTAATATATACACTTTGAATGAAAAAATGATTAAAAGATTTTTTTTTCCTATTTCTCTCTTATCTATTTCTATCTACTCATCTTAATATCAAATGCCTCAAAATTTATTTTTCTCACTTATCTTTCTCTTTTACTTGTCCACACTCTTTTTCACTTATTTCTTTCCTCTATCAATCGAACCCTAAATCTCATTTTTAAAACGAATCAAATTATCATTTTTTTTAATCTATTATTAAAGATATAGTTTTGGCTCTCAAAGTAAAAAATGAAAGGAACCATGAGTTGACTAGTAGTCTAAGAGGCATTAATAATAATTGCTTTAAAATAAAACTCAGACCATATATAAAACCATATAAAAACACTTTCGATCCAAAATAGTTCTTAAAAACATTATCATTAAAATAAGTATTTTAATCTATATATAAACAAATATTACTCGGTAATATCTATGATGTAAGGTTTGTGATTCGGTCTCCAACATTTACAGCAAAGAGACACTCCCATTCTCATTTTTTTTCCTGCCCCGTAAAAGAGCACGCCAAGTTTACATTCCAAGCACAAGTATTTTCTACGTTCAGTTTCAACAACAATAAATGGCACCAGAAAATAAAATAAAGGCATTAATGATGTTTGTGGATAGCCCTTTTTCAGTGCCTCTTATGGATGAGAGGACCTTGATCAAGTTCTTTATCAAGTGAAGCTTCACTTGGATAACTCCAGCAACCAGTATGTAAGGTGCATTGGCATTTACATGTTTGAAGCACTCAAGGCCATTACCTTACATTGTTCATTCAATGCTAGAAGTTGAGCCTCTTTCTTGTCAAGCAGTGCACTCAATCTGACATTCTCTTCCATAAGTTTCTGAACTTCGGCCTCTTTCTGCATTTTCTCACCCTCTAATTGAGTAGTCTTTGCAACTAGCCTGCTCAAGAGCAACATCATGTGGTTAGAAAAATACATATCCAGATAGAAATGAACATTCTACATCAGAATTGAAGTGCATGTTTAGTTTCACATCTGTAATCCACTTTTAGATAAGAATCACATTAAAATTGATGCAAAAACAACTAATTGTTGCTTTTACTGATCCACACCCACCAAAATTTATGTGAATGAAAACATGCTTGGAATAAATGTTTTAGTTTTTTCCTCCATCAACAGGCAAATGTGTGGATGTTCACACCTAGTCATCAACATGTAACACAAGCATGTATTAACATGGAAATGCAGCATACCATCACATCACCAGTCGCCACAAGACCCATGTTATCTTGACATAATAACTGGCTTTTGAAACACAAAATTGTGCTTCAATTAAAAAGTTTTTAGTACAAGACTCTACTAGGTCTTGGGAGGCCTAGAGTAGTGCCTAAGGGATTCCCATTAGGGGCCCCAAAAAGAAGGTGATGGGAAAAGGGTGCTCCATTAGGGGATATTCACCACCCTCTTTTGCAGAAAACTTGCAAGCAAATGTTCAAACCATGTGAGCTAGGCTTGACTCTCCGATTGACATTTCATTATAATGGGTAGGCCATGCCACTCTATATTTTGAAAACCCTTTGAGCCTTTGAGGCTAGAACATGCTGGCATTTGCCAAGACAAAGAGAGATGTGCCCAAATGCATTTATCAATACTAGCATTTAAAGTGAATGGATTGTATTGAAGCATTACATAGATAAAGGACCAATTCTATACAGATACTGTAGTTTAAAAACCCTAAACTCTAATTTAAATACTACAATTTTATAAATCAGTAGTTAATATTGATCAAAACAACAATTATTCAGATTAAGCTTTAATTACACACAAAATTTAAAGTCTACACTTAAAGTTTACTATTGCACAGAGAGTAGCAGAAAAAATGCACTCACAAGAAAACCAAGTTGCCAACTTCCAATACGGTGATACTTTTATATTAAAACCAACTAAGTCAAGCAGAAGATAAACAGAAGACATCTTCCTGAATGAAACAATATTACAACCACAAAGTAATGATGTGTCAGAAGACGAGACTTCGTTCAAATAAAAACATTATAGTTAACCAAATCACAATGAAAATAATTATAAACAAGAATATAATTAGCTCTTAATTGACCTTTAAATAATGTCTGACATGTCAACAACACCAAGTTTAATAATATATACTTCTTTTGTCACTAAAGGCTCCTCAAATTATTTCAGAGTTATATGAACTTTTGCATCTAAAATACGAGCCAAGATAGACCCTGGTCATGTGCTTAGAGAAAATCCTAGCCATGCCCACAAAAAGGTTAACATTATTTTACAAAATTAGAACACTCAATCCAATAAAAATTAATGTGATGGTATGGTGCCAAGTAAACATAAAATAAATCATTTATAAAGCATAAAAATGCAGCAGGAAGTGTACTGAAGCATTTAACTCAAGCAACTTGATGTAGGTCAGACATCAGATAATTATCAGGACATTTAATAGTAGCATATTGCTTGTAGCATATAATATACTCACTTTTCAAACAGCCTCTCAATAGTTCGAAACTGCTTCTCCGAGGAAAGCAAGGTCTCTCTAACTGTGATTAAACCACTGACATATGATTTCAGAGACTCAAATTCTCCTTTCACTCTTGAAAGTTCCTCTTCATTTTCAGCAGCTCTCTCTCTCTGTCTGTTTGTTTCTTCCACCAAGTCCTCAACTCTCTGCCGCATCTCATTTAGAATACTGTTTGTATTCATAGCAAAAAGCTCCATCTCTTCTAATTTCGTAGACATGTTCTCTAACTGGGTTGACTTCCTCTTAATTTCTTCCTGACTTGTACTTACTTTTTCCTTCTCTATTGCAGTTTCTGACTCGGCCAATAAAACCCTTTTGACAAGGGCTTCCATCACATCTGCGACCATCTGTACAGACTCGAGTAGCTCACCTATATAAGCTGTATCGTGTTCATCTAAGGAACCATGCTGATGGCTAATTCCCATCCAAGATTCTTCATCTGTGTCATCAAATGAAGAAAGATCAACATTGCCAGACCAACCTGATATTGGTACCCCATTTTTGTCAACAAAGCCTACCCCGTCTAATTGTTTGATGCCACAAGATGTATGGGCTAAATGAGGAACAGCCATGAGCCTAGCTTTTGATTTTAAGTATGTCAACATTGTAGAGGCAGTCTTGACTCTTCGCCAAAGAACCTCCAACTCCTTTTTTGCATCTACATCTGAACCCTGATTGCAAGCCTCTGCCTCTGTAAGTTCTATTTGCAATACATCCACTTGGAGATGGCTTCTTTCAATCTCCGGCTTCCATGTTTCATGTGAATGACCAAGCTGAGACTTTGTAGTGGACACGTTAGCATCTTCATCTGCCGCCATGCCCTGTCCAATATTTCATAGAAATGTTAAGAACATAATATACATGGAGTTAATATTTCATCATATGAAAACCCTTGGCAAAGCTCTATCAAAGAGTAATTGGGAAGATATCAGGTAGCTTATGGGCCTTGAAAGTAATACATAACTAAAAGGATGCAGCACAGTAAGTTGGATGCCATATATTAAAACAAAATAAAAAAGCAAAACAAATATTAAAAGTAAATTCCCTAGTACTTTAATCATATTATGTCATAGATCTCATTTCAAACAAATGTACCATAAATAAGCCCAGGAAGGCAAGAACTTTACATATTAAAAAATAATGTCTTCTGCAAAGTAATATTCTCTGCTTCTTTGAAGCTTCAGGAAGTTTATAGGACCCATCTATATCAACTCAAGAGAAGTACTGAAATGAGGTTACACGAATACAAAGCAAAAAGCATGTTTGCCAGACATGAAACCTCTTGCAATCGGATTTCTACGTTAAACATTGCCTGGTTAGAAGTTGAAAATGTCTTCAACTTACAGCACACAAAGAATTGACTCAGCCACAAATATAGCCACTTACGTTTTAAACTAGATCTCACCGGCAGAGGAAAAGCTCAAGCTGGAAAACGCTATAACGCAAAAAAAAAAAAAAAAAAAAAAAAAAAAAAAAAAAAAAAAAAAAAAA